CCCGTCCTCCACTCTCCCAGTCCAGGCCTCGGAAACAGCCGTTTCTGCAAGAGTCCTTGAGTCCAGAAAGCTACAGCCCCAGAACCAAGAGCCGGGCACAGGTGTACCCATCGCGATCCAGGGGTCTCTGTTCCCGGGGTCGCTCAGGGGATGGAGGTGGGGGACACGTGAATGCAGATGTGTCTACACCTTGTAGGGCACGCAGAACGCCTCCTCCAGCCGCCCAGGATTTCTCAGCTGGGCCCGAGAGTTAAACTGACTTATCAAAGAGACAGGTTAATGGGAGAAATGCAGACACATTTATATCAATTTTATGTGGCATTGGAGCCCTCATAAGGAAGTGAAGACTCAAAGATGGCTGACTCTCATGCTTTTGATCCAGTTGAACAATAGAGGCAACTGTGGGAAAGTAGCTAAACCAATCGCGGGAAGGCTAAAGGAGATGGGAACCATTTCAACAAGGCCTGTTGGCATGGAATTCTCCAGGTCTCAACCTCATGATAAGAGTGTCACTGTCCTGGGACAGGCAGGCATCTTTCCCAGGCAGAGTTTATCTCCTTTTTCAGGAAGAAAAGGAAGATGAGAAGGTCCTCTTGCATCTCTGTCTTGCAATTGCCTTTGGCTCAAATTAACCCTTGTGCCAAAGGGGCATATGCTGGGGTGGCGTGTGTGCCACCCTCTGACATGCGCATGCGGATTTGCACCCACATTTATTTCTCTTTCATGTGCATATACTGCTCATCCATCACGGAGGGCAATTCTGTGATTCCATTCTTACAGGACCTGAGTGGCGAATGCATGGGGACAGCAGGGGAACCGTGGGGGCCAGGGACTGGGCCGGGGAACGAGGAGCTGGGGTTAATAGGGACAGAGTTTCATTTGGGGAAGGTGGAAAGTTCTGGAGAGGGATGGTGGCCAGGGTTGCACAACACGTGAATGTACTAATGCCACCGAACTGTCCACTTAAAAAGTGGTTAAAATGGTCAATTGTATGTTTTCATTTTTTCACAGAAAAAAAGTTTTTTTAAGAGACACTCCCATCCAAAACCACAAACAACTCAGGACGTCACCAGTTCACGTGGATGCCTCCAACTCCAAGCCAACCTCACAGGGTCCGAGGGCCTCCTCTCCTTTTCGGCATCTGCTCCTCCCTCCTCTGAGAGTGAGGGGGGTTCTGTCTCCCATCGCTGACACCCACGCCCCATTTCCTCCAGGGACGCCCTCCGCACCTCACCACTTCAGCACCTCCCAGGGGCCCCATCCCCACACAGACACCTCCTCCCCTGCTGGGGCCGGGCACTCCCCTGTCCTCTGCCCTCCATACCCGGGCCCGAGGACCAGCCTCTGCCCAGCGCCCTCCTCTCCTGCTCCCTCTGACCCCCAGGCTGGACCCACCCCCGGTGGAGGGGCACCTCCTCAACCCACTCAGACCCCCCAGGCCTCCCCACTCCAAGAGCCACGCTTGCTCACCCACCTACTGGCTGGAGGACCCCCTGGCCCAGCAAAGGAGGGAGAGGAGGGGGTAGGAGGGGAAAGAGCCAGGCCTGCATTTACAGTTCAAGCGTGGAACGCACAGGATTACTGATGACTTAGAGCTCACTGGACAATGGAACGCTTACAACTTAATACATGCAAATACATGATACATAACATGCAAAAATAGAATCCCACACGCAGCTTAAAATCTTGAAGAGGGTTTAATGAGCTCTGTTTATCAATGGAACCAAATGCGACAGAAAATGCTTCCCCTCGGCAGTGATCAGATGGGCACACTTTACTGTATTTATGAATACAACTGTAAGGTTCCGATGGACTTCACAGCTTAAAAGAAAGTCAGATTTTCAAACTGGTCATTTTCCTCCTTTGAGTATTCATTTACAAAACCAAGGGGCCTCCAAATTGTCATCACTGTGCACAAAAAAACAGCCGCAAACCACCAAGAAGCTGACACTGACCGAGCCTGGGATTTCAATTCCTGCACCCACTGCGGGTGCCATTGATATCAGCCCAACACAAGGCTGACGTAAGGGACGCCATATTGTAGAAAAGAGACCATGCCGTAACCTTGAATGGCCTCTGACTAACTGACCCAGCTGGGTTGCACCCTCCAGGAGATCCACGCGCTCTGTAGATTTTATGACCCCTCCTTGTGCATGTGCCTCCCAGCTGCAATGAGACGATGACTTCGTTCTTTTGAGTTCCTTAGGAATGTGATGGCCCCAGAACAGAGCGTCTATGCTCACAGCCATCGTCAATGACAACGGAAAGATCTGGTGTGGCGAATCGTGGGACAACAATTCCAACCCCCTCCCCTATAACCCACAGGCCTACATAACTGCTTCCAGATTCTGTGCCCCCTTAAGACGGCTCTTTTGGACATTAGTCAGCCATCTTCCCTCTTGCTAGCAAGCTGGAATAAAATGCCCTTTCTTCGTGCCATCTTGCCTTTGGACGACTGGCTTTTGTCTTGTGATGACCAGATTGTGCCCTTTGTGCAGTTACACAATGAGCTGCCTATCCCTTGAGTTATTTCCTGAAGGAAGACAAAATCAGCAAACACAGCCAGCTGGCCGGTCTTTTCTTGATTTTCACGGCAAATGAACTTTGTGGCTCTTAAATACTGTGGGATGACTGGTTTCCTGGGGCAGGTGGACAAGGGCTGGCTGTTTCGGGGGCTCAAGGAATCCTGATGGGGGTGGTGGTGGCACAGGTGTGTGTATGTCAAAACTCATCCAAGTAGTCCATTAAAATCTGCACAATTTATGAATGTGGAATGTGGCTTGAAAACAAAAAGAATAATAGGAAATAAATACATTCACTATTTATTTGGAAATGAAAAAAATTGCTCCCCCCAAAATTATTCCAGGACTGATAAAAAGATAGTCAACACAAATGAATAAGGATGCGTCAAGGGTGAGCATATCTGGGTTCCAAGAAATTAACCAGCATTAAATTGATAACAGAATGAATGTGAACATTGGGCCAAACACCAAAGTCAGGTGTGGACCTGCAGGTCAGCAGCTTGTGAAGAAATATCCAGCCACGATGAAGAAGTCGGGGAAGGTGAGTCATTGGGATCCACAGCAATCCACAGGATGAGGCAGGAAACACAGACGGCCTTCTCTATAAGGGGCGCAGCGGTTAAGTTCGCACGTTCTGCCTCGGTGGCCAGTTCGGATCCAGGGGGCAGATATGGCATCGCTTGGTATGCCATGCTGTAGTAGGCGTCCCACATATAAAGTAGAGGAAGATGGGCGCGGATGTTAGCTCAGGGCCAGGCTTCCTCAGCAGAAAAAGAGGAGGATGGGCAGCAGATGTTAGCTCAGGGCTAATCTTCCTGAAAAAAAAAGAGGAACGGAGGCCATCATGCTGGGAAACTGTGCACCCTGGTTGTTGATGTTAAAACATCAGATCCACTGTCTTCTCTATTTAAAGTCCCAGTGATGAGCCCTCGGCACTCAGACCTGACCTCCAGCCCAGGCCCTGGCCCCAACCTTGCTGTGTGGCCTTGGCTGAGAGGCTGCCCCTCTCTGAGCCTCACTTTTCTCCTCTGCAAAATCGGGGTGTTTGCATCCTCCCTAAATGCAGCCGCCCAGCCTCCCTCTCCGAGGCCCTTGCTCCCTGAACTGCACCACCCCCTGGGGAGCCTCGAGTGTAGGGAGGGGCAGGGAGAGAGTCTGGGAGGCCTGGGGACGGTGGGGTGGTAGGTCCGGTTCGGAGTCTGGTGTCTCCACCCAAAGTTTCCATCGCCGACCCATCTCTGGCCCAGGCCTCTGCCCCCTATGGGGTGGGGCAGAAATAGGGTTATGGGAGGAGGGTGGGGCAGAAATAGGGTTATGGGAGGAGGGTGGGGCACTGGGGAGCAGGCCTGCAGGCTGTTAGGAGGGGATTCTGCTCAGCCTCCTCCCCCTTCCCTCTCCCTGCCTTCTAGAACCATCTTTCAGCCTTCTCCCTCTGACCCCGCCCTTCCTGGCCTGGGTTCCTCTTCTGGAGTGTTGGGTTATGGGGGCTGGAAATGGGCCTGGGTGGAGGGTCCCACATATTCTCTTCCTTGGGCTGGTGGGGGGTGGGTTCTAGGACACCCTGCACTCCACCCCCTTGTCCTGAAAACCAGGTGGGAGAGGAGCAGTTCTGGGAGGTGGGACAAGAGGGAAACTTAGAGGAGAGAAACAGGAACTCGTGGTGGACTGAGTGAGAGACACGGGGAGACAGAGACCCAGAGGGAGACTGGGGCATTCACAGAGACAGAAGAAACACAGAGAAACTTCCAGAGATGAAGAAAGCCAGAGACACAGTCAGCATGCTAGTGCACAGCTGTGTGCTTTGGGCCAATTGCCCCGCCTGTCTGAGCCTCAGTTTCCCCGTCTGGCATTGTGGGTGTTTGACGCCCCTCCGGCCCGGCCTGTGCTGAGCATCAGTGATGCTTGTCTATCCCTGGCAGACCCAGAGGCTCCACGATTGGCAGCTGTTGTTACTCTGTTTCCTTCCCCACCCATATTTCCCGAATGCTTACCGTGTGTGGGCGCTGCTCTGGGCACCAGGGCACGGCTGCCACTTCAGGCACGAGTCCTGCCCCTCGCAGCCCCATGTTCCATGACGATGTTGTTGCCACAGTTATTACACTAGGACAGAGCGTCAACTGGAATTTCCGGGGAGACACTTCCTCAGCCGTGGGCTGCAGGGCCAAACCTGGGAGAGAGGGGTCCGGAGCTGCAGCCCCGGGTTGGCCTCTCAGGACCCACGTTTTCCATGATCAAATGGGCATGAGGGTCTTTGCTCTCTGCTGGGCAGGGGGAAGGTAGGGCTGGCTGCAGGGTGGCTCAGGGAGCCTTCTCTGCTGTCATTATTATTAGTATTAACTGTCCCCTTCATTATTAGGTCAAAGGATCAGGGCAGTTTGCCTGGGAGCACTCAGGGAGGGGAAGGGTGAGAGGCTCCAGGAAAAGGGCGCTAGGCCAGCCTGCCTGGGGGCCGGGGTCTGAGCCAGGTGTGGGCGGTGGGTGTACAAAGGGGCGGAGGGAGTCAGCAGGGCCAGCCACACCCTGCTTTTACTTAAGGCCCCAGCGGCCATCCCTGCCACCACCACTGCCTGTCCCACTGCCTGTCCCACTGTCCCAGCCATGGAAGGGAGCACTGTGAGTGCCTCAGGGGCCTGAGGCTTTGGGGGGTCTTGGATGCCAGACTGCACCAGACTTAGGGAGGGCCTGGGGCCTGGCTGGGATCCCCTGTCCCGAGGGAGAAAGTGGGTGCTGGGGTGTGCTATGAAGAGTCTGAGTGGTGGCTGACCCCACCCATCCGCATGCTCCCATCTCTTGGGGCCTTCCTCTGGGTTTCTCTCTCTGGAGATTTTTTTTTTCCTTTTTTTTTTTTCTCCCCAAAGCCCCCCAGTACATAGTTGTATATTCTTCGTTGTGGGTCCTTCTAGTTGTGGCATGTGGGACGCTGCCTCAGCGTGGTTTGATGAGCAGTGCCATGTCCGCGCCCAGGATTCGAACCAACGAAACACTGGGCCGCCTGCAGCAGGGCGTGGGAACTCAACCACTCGGCCACGGGGCCAGCCCCTCTCTCTGGAGACTTTTGTTGATTCTTTGTGTTTCTCTCTGCAGCTGTCTCCCTGTCTCGGGCTCTCTTTCCTTCTCTCTGTGCCCTTTCTTTTCTCTGATTCTGCTGGTCTGGGTCCTGTCCGTTTCCTCCCTGGGGCTGAGCCGTCATTTTTCCTCCTCTGTCTCCCTGTTCACATGGCCCCCTAACCCCTTCTCCTGCAGGAGGTGCAGCCGAGGGTCCCGCTGCCTGAGGGCATCCGAGTGGGCAACGTGATGAGAATTCGTGGTGTTGTTCCCGGCAACGCTCACCAGTGAGACCCAGGCCCCAGCGGGTAGGGGTGGGTGGGCTCCAGGCTCAGCTGACCCCAATCTCTTCCAGCCCAGAGGTCAGGGCGCCAGAGCCACCTTTGACCCCCGGGGTTTTGGGACCCCTAGGCCATTTCTGACCTTCTGGAATCTGATGTCTTCACTTTTTGCCCCCTGACTGTGGAGCTGGGGTTCCCATGTCTCCCTAAGAATCTGGGGCTCCATGGCAAACTCGGGGTTCCTAGTCCTATGACTTCCAGTCTGAGTCCAGGAACTGTGGGAACATGTCCTGAGACGTGGAGGTGCCCTGGCATCTGGGAGACCTTGGCAGTCGGCCCTATGACTTCCTGGGTCCGGGAACGTCAGGCTTCCTGGGCCTCTAGGGTGCCTGAAAATACTGGGTCCCTGGGATTGGGACCCTCCAGCCCTCTGGGAATTAGGGATGCCCCGGGAATGGGGAGCAGCCTGGCCATCAGCACCACGACTCCTTGGCAACTCCCAGACTGTGTGGAAATGAGGGGGGCCCAGGCCACTGCACAGTGGCCCTTTTCTCGATGGATGTGTGACCAGGCCCCCAATCAGATTTTGGATGCCCTGGTATCTGGGCTCCCTGGCCACCCATCCACAGCCCCTCCTTCTGTGGCGTGTGACAGTCTCAGCTCCCTGTAAGTCTGGGTGAGCTCTGGCCATGGTGATGCCCAGTCCACTGGCACCTGCTATCTATACAATGCCCTCCCTTCCCCAAACTACCAGCTTCTCTATAAACCTGGTGTGCAAGGAAGGGCAGGATGGCGAGGTTGCCCTGCATTTCAACCCCCGGCTGGAGGAGTCCATAGTGGTCTTCAACACTATGCAGGAGGGCCGCTGGGGCCGAGAGGAGCGCGGCCAGGGCATTCCCTTCCAGCGTGGGCAGCCCTTCGACGTGCTCATCATCACCACCGAAGATGGCTTCAAGGTGTGTCTCCCCCGCAGGGATGGGTGCCGAGACCCAGGTCCCTCAGCAGTTGGGGGAAGGCCCCTGGTGGAGCTAGCCAAGGCTGGGCGCCTGTCCCCAGTCCGTCGCCCTCCCCTGGTGCAACCCCATTGATGTCGGAGGGCAGGTGTGCGGCAGGGGCCCGACCAGTGAGCAAGAGCCAAGCGCCCAGGGTGGGGTGTCCCAGCGGGGAGGCGTGGCCCCCATTTCCGTCCCGACCCCACTGCCTGTCATTCATGCTGAGCTAGCCTCTCGGCGGCTGGGGCTAGGCCGTGCTCAGACACTTGCCCAGACACAAGTCCCCACGGGAGTGGTCGCCGCAGACCCTCCTCCACCAGGCCGTCAGGAGTGGGCCGTGGACGCCGGAATCGTGGGCATCACGGCCCCGCCAGCCCTTCAAAGCGCTCGCGTGCACCAGGCAACTCACTGAACCCCCGCGCCGTTAGAACGCACTGCAGCCCCGTTTTCCCAGTGGGCCCAGGTCACACGGCGTGGGGCCGGACGGGCCCGACCCCGCAGTCGGCCTCCGGGTCCTGAACCCCCGACCCTCCCCTGCAGGCGGTGGTCGGAGACTCGGAATACTACCACTTCCGCCACCGGATCCCGCCGGCGAACGTGCGCCTGCTGGAAGTGGGTGGAGACCCGCAGGTGGATTCGGTGAAGGTCTTCTGAGCCCTCCTGGGTTGCGGGTGAAGGGCGGAAATGGGGTCCAGGGCCCTTGGATGGCAAATAAAATGTGAGCTCGCTCCTCTGCGTATGTGTCTCCTTCACCCAGACCAGGAATACAGGTTCAGAGAGGGGAAGACACTCACTAAGGGTCACCCAGGGACTCGGTGGCCCAGGCGGGATCTCCTCGGCCGCTTCTGGCTGGGAGGCCTCAGGAGGGTCGCGAAAGGGTGGGGGCGGGGCTTTTCTTTGCTGCTTTGCAAAGCAGCCGGGCGGCCATGCCGTTGGGGTGATCTGATGGAGTTGGCAGGGGGCTCACGCGCTGCCCCGGTGGCCCCTGCGCGGATCTAACGGACCCCACATCCGTCCACCCGCAAATAGGGGGTCGAGTCCGCCCCGCCGGGTCCCTTGGAGACCCCCCTCGCGGCGACGGTGCAGGAATCGGCTCAGGCTCCCGGCGCCACGGCCCCTCCTTCTCCCCTCTCCCCCATCCCCGGCCTCTCGGGGCGGGAGGCGGCTCGCGCGAGGAGGGGCTGGGAAGCGCATGGGGCGTCGCCGCTAGTTGGCGCACCCGAGCAGCAGCTGGCCCGCGGAGGGGACGGGAACGCGAGGGGCCGGGCTCCTGGGTCCCCACTGCGGTCATGAGCCTCAGTCCCACACCTCTCCCTCCTCCGCACCCCGGACGGCGAGACTCCGCCCTGCCTGGGAGATTCTGGAGCTGGAATGGGGCAGGAGGCTCCCACCTGACCGCCAGGCGGTGCTTTTCTGGTCGGGTTGGGGGTGCGGAGGTGCTGCGTCCCCAGTGAATAGCCGTGGGAGGGGGATCCGGGACCCCCCGCGCGCCCCCGAGTCCCGCCCCCTGAGCGAGGCGCGTGCAGGGGCGGCATTTCTCTGTTGCGGGATGGAGCCCCTGCCACGTGGCCGCCATCCAGCCAGGTGCAGGTTTCCGGAAAGTTCGAAGCCACGCCCCCGGCAGGACTCTCTTTGGGCTTCTGGCCCGCAACCCGCGCCGGGCTGGACAGACTTGCCCCCTCCCCTGGGGCCCTGCAGAGGTTGCGTCTGCCCGGACCGAGGCTCAGTGAGCTCGGACTGCGCTTAACCCTAACAGACCCCAGGGCAGTGGGCAGACCAGGCCCTGCGGCGAGGCTTGCGTCTTCTCAAGACCCGTTTTTCTGCCCCTTGAGACCCTTGGACTGAAGCCACCCCACTTGATGCCCGACCCTTGAGAGTAGGGTCTCTGTGTGGGCCGTGGAATGAAGGGTCCCCTCTCTCAGTGGAGGACCCAAGGAAGTCTGAATTTCCCTGGTCCCCAGCGCTCATTGTGGAATGACTTAGATTTTACTTGCCCGTGTCAAGTATGTTTTTAAACTTTTGTCAAGATAACGTATAGAGACGGTACAAATTTCAAAAGTATACAGGGGAAAGTACAGTTATTGGCACAGCTGGTGACGGTGGTTGGGGGCCTGGCGTGAGATGGTCACGATCCATGCATGTTAATTTCCTGGTAGTTGCCGTGGCCTTCCAGTGGACATGCAGCAGAATGTTCTCGTTTGTAGAAAATACACAATAAAGTATCTGAAGGTGATCAGGAAGCATGTTGACAACTTATTCTCATCATTTCCAAATAAAAAAATATATATGCAAAGGAAAGTCGTCCTTTATGAGAGTAAACTGCTGTTACTCATGTCTTCATTTCTTGCGTATCTTTCCAAAACTCTCTATGCACTTCTAAACACAGGCATATTCGGGTTTTTTCCCTCTTTGCATAAACGGTAGCATCCTTCATCCACTGACCTTGTTTTTGTCGCTGACCAGTATATATGTGTCCAGTGTCACTCACTTTGCTGGCTGCCCAGTGCTCCCTTGCAAGGAATCAATAACGTGACGAATGTCACTTGAGCCCTCCTGAATGTGTGTTTGTGTCATATCATTCACTACACTCAAACAATGGTACACTGAGTGTCCTCGGACCTACGTCAGCAGGACCTTTTCCCTTTTTATAATCTCTGCTCTGATTATAAAATGTAAGCATGCTTATTCCAGAATGGGGAATAACAAATTTAAAATCACCCATGATTTCACGATCCAGATAATAATCACTGTTAGTATTTTAGTGTTTTTCTTTCCAGCCTTTTTTCTATAATAATTTGTATACACTATGCATTTGGGGGAAATTGAAATATATATGTGTATTTAGATATATATTTTTTGAAAGATAAATATTCCAAAATATTGGAAAATTGAAATATATATCTACATATTTCCTGAGTCCCCACTAGGTGTTGGTCCCTGTGCTAACCACTCTTGCAGTCCTCAAGAAGAGCTTCTGGGGTAGATACCCTTATTATTCCTATTTTGCAAATGAGGCATCTGATGCTCAAGAAGGTTCAGTGACCTGTTCCAGGTGGAGCAGGGACCAGAGCCAGGTGAATGTGATCTAAACCACTGGGAAATCGTGTTTTGTCTTGTTTTTTAGTATCAAGTTTATTGAGGTTTTTAATATCAACTTTATTTATATACATACAATAAAATTCTCCCTTTCTAGGTGTACACTTCCATGAATTGTGACAAACTCATATGGTTGTATGACCAGCACCGCAGTCAAGGTCCAGGACATCTCCGTCACCCCTTCCCAAGCACCCTCCTGGCACCTGGCAGCCTTGCCTGCTCTCTATCGTCATAATGTAGCTTTTCCTGCTCTAAAATTTTGGATAGAACTAGGCTTTTTTTTCTGTCTGGCTACTTTTGTTCAGCCTAATGTTGTTGAGGTTCTTTCACGTGTTTTCATGTGGTGGTAATTCCTCCCAATTTGTCTGAGTCGTATTCCAATGTATGGCTATACCACACCTTGTTTATCCATTCACCTGTTGATGGACTTGAGTTGTTTCCAGTGCTGGATTATGAATTAGGATGGTGTGAACAAGTCTTTATGAAATGAGCCTCTAAGAAATGAGTGTGGACTCGTTTCTTACTACATGATTTTATCTTCTGATGTTAAACCAACCTTGCATTCCTGGGTTAAATCCCACTTGGTTAAGATGTATAATCATTTTTGTACATAGTATGGATTCAGTTTCCAAATATTTTGGATCAAATAATTTGGATTTCAAATATTTTGTTCAGGATTTTTGCATTTATGTTCATGAAAGATATTGGTCTGTAGTTTTCTTTTCGTGTGATATCTTTGTCTGACTTTGGTATCAAGGTAATAATCATCTCATAAAATAATTATGGAATTGTTCCCTCTGCCTCAATTTTTCTGGAAGAGTTTTTGTAGGATTGATATTACTTTAATATTTAATAGAATTGACTGGTTAAACCACCTGCGCATGGGTTTTTCTGTAGAAATATTTTTAAATTACTCAATTTCTTTTCTTTCTTTCTTTTTTTTTTTTGAGGAAGATTAGCCCTGAGCTAACATCTGCTGCCAATCCTCCTCTTTTTGCTGAGGAAGACTGGCCCTGAGCTAACATCCATGCCCATCTTCCTCTACTTTATGTGGGACGCCTGCCACAGCATAGCTTGCCAAGCAGTGCATAGATCCACACCCAGGATCCGAACTGGCGAACCCAGGGCCGCCCAAGCAGAATGTGCACACTTAACCACTGCGCCACCGGGCCAGCCCCTAAATTACTCAATTTCTGTACTTGCTAAGGGTCTATTAACATTTTCTAATTCTTTTCTAGTTAATTTAGATAATTTCTGACTGCCCAGGAATTTGTTCTTTTCATCTAAGTTGCCTAACATGTTTGCCCAAACTTGTTTATAATATTCCCTTGTAATCCTTTTTATTTTCTTTAGAGTCATTAGTGGTGTCCCCTTCCTTTGTTCTTGATTTTATGTCTTTTCTCCCTTATTTCTTGGTCAGTGTAGCTAAGGTTTGTTAATTTTGTTGATCTTTTAAAAAAACCATCTTTTGGTTTCATTGATTTTCCCGATTTTCTATTTTATTGATTTCCACTTTGCTCGTTAGTATTTCCTTCTTTCTATTACTTTAAGTTTGATTTATTCTTCTTTTTCTAGTTCTTGAGGTGATGATGTCTATGTCTTCTGTATCCTTACTCATCTCTGTCTGGTTGTTCCATCAATTACTGAAAGAGGGGTATTGAAATTTATAATTACAATTGTTAAATTATCTGTTGGTCCTTTCAAATCTGGCATGGATTTTGGGATCCATTGTTAGTGTACATGTTTACTTGATCTATATATTTGATATGTTTACTTGATATATACATATGTGTCTGATGTATTGAGCCTGTAGAAGTGTCGCTCTTTGTCTCTGGTACAATTTCTTTTAACATCTATTGTGTCTGATATTAATTTTGTCCTTCTTATGTTCTTATGGTTACCGTTTGCATGTATATCTTTTCTCATCCTTTCACTTTCAACTTATTTATGTCTTAGATCTAAAGTGCACCCTTTGTAGACAGCATATACTTGGAACTTGCTTTCTTATCCAGTCTGACAATGTATTGGTTACCTATTGCTTCATAACAAATTACCCCATAACTTAGCAGCATAAAATGACAAATATTTATTATATTACACAGTTTCTGAAGTTAGGAATCCAAGAGTGGCTTACCTAGATGGTCTTGGCGCTGAGTTTTCATGAAGTTGCCGCCACACTATCAGTGGAGCTGTAGTCATCTAAAAGAAAGTTTGGCAAACTACGGCCGTGGGCCAAAGCCACCCATTGTCTATGTTAGGATGGCTCACAAGCTAAGAATGGTTTTTACACTTTTAAATAGCAGAAAAAATAAAAAGAGTAGTATTTCATAACACTGAAGTGTTATGAATTCAAATTTCAGTGTCCATAAATAAAGTTGTATTGGCACACGGCCACGCTCTTTCATTTATGTATTGCCTAAGGGCTGCTTTTGTGTTTTGTCAGTGGAGTTGAGTAGTTGCAACAGAGACTGGATCACCCACAAGGCTTAACCTATTTACTACATGGCCACTATAGAAAAAGTTTGCAACCTCTGCTCTAAAGGCTTGCCTGAGACTGGAGGAGCCTCTCCCAGGAAGGCTCACACACACGGCTGTTGGGAGGAGTTTCCAGTTTCTCGTCACGTGGACCCTTCCAGAGGACTGAAGAAGTTACTGACTCCTCCCAGAGGAGCAATCCAGGAGTGAGAGCTAGAGAGCAAGGCCAAGACAGAAGTTGCAATTATTGATATAGTTGGCTTTACGGCTGCCATTTTGCTATTTGTTTTTACCCTCTGTTACTCCTTCACGACCTTCTTTTGTGTTAAACAAACAATTTTTAGTGGACCACTTAAATTCCAGCTTTGATTTTTTTTTAAAGATTGGCAACTGAGCTAACGTCAGTTACCAATCTTTTTTTTCCCCCTTGTTCTTTTTCTCCCCAAAGCTCCCAGTACATAGTTGTATGTCGTAGTTGTGGTCCTGCTGGTTGTGCCATGTGGGACGCCGCCTCAGCATGGCCTGATGAGTGGGTGTGTAGGTCCGTGCCCAAGATCCAAACCAGCGAAACCCCTGGCCACCAAAACAGAGTGTGCAAACTTAACCACTCGTCCACGGGGTCGGCCCCAAACCTTTGATTTTTTTAACTGTACATTTTGAAAGCTGGTTTTTAAATGGTCACTCTAAGGATCACAATATACACCTTAACTCATCATAGCCAACTTTAGGTTGATACAGATTTAATTCCAGTAAAATATAGCAGTTTTGCTCCAATATATTTCCATCCCCCACCCTATTTTGTGCTATTGTTGTCATATATATCACATCTGTGTATGTTAGACACCCTGAAATATAGGTTTTTATTTTTATTTTTAAATAAAAAGAAGAAAAAAGAAAAATATACAATTTTTAAAAATATGTATTCACATATTTATAATTTCTGGGCTCTTCATTTCTTCTTGTGGATTTGAGTTTCTGTTTGATGCCATTTTATTTCAGGGTGAGGGAATTCCTTTAGTATTCCCTAAAGGGCAGGTTGGATAGCGATGAATTCAGCTTTTGTTTATCTGAGAATGTCTTTCTTTTGCCTTCAGTTTTGAAATATAGTTTTGTTGAATATAGAAATATTGGTTGACGGTTTTATTTTTCTTCTAGCACTTTGAATAAATTGTTCAGCTGCCTTCTGGCCTCCTTTGTTTCTATGAAAAGTTAGCCAATAATTGTGCCTCTGTTCGTCTGTAGCTGATGACTTGTTTTTCACTTGCTGCTTTCAAGGTTTTCTCTTTGTCTTTTTTCTTCTCAGAAGTTTGACTAAAATGAATCTAGATATACATCTCTTTGTATTTATCCTACTTGCAGTTCATTGAGCTTCTTGGATCTATAAATTAATGTCTTTCATGAAATTTGGTAAGTTTTCAGCCATTATTTCTTAAAACATTTTACAGCAGCAATAGAAAACTAACTGTGACCCCTCAAGCTCATTCAGGGCATCAACCTCTGGGAGGAGCTCCAGTCTCCACCTCTCTCTCTGAACGTTTTTGGGGTCTGTAGCTGACATGTCTCCCCACTACCATTCCTGGGAGGCACCACCCTGGGCATCAACTGTCCAGTGAGGGAGGGGGGTGGAAGGGAGAAGGAGTCTCCCCTCCCATGTACCCCAGGAGGAAAAGAGCACCTCAGACTGGAGGCTGCCCAGGTCAGCCCTCCACCCTTCCTCACCTCCTTGGCATCCATCCCAGGGTCTGAGTTTAATAAAAATATTGATGCCCATGACCCATTACTGATTTACTAGACTAGAACATATGAAATTGTTGATATTTAACCACTTTCAACCTACAAAAATGGTATTTTTATATGGCTTAACCTAATAATAATGGTCTGTGTTGGGGTCAGGTATCAATATTTTTTTAAAAGCTCCCAGGTAATTGCAATGTACAGCCAAGTTTGAGAACTAAACCTGATGAATGAAGGCAACAATAAAGAGAATGAATGAATGAAAAAATGAACAGACATTGACAAATGACTGAATAACGCATATGTGAACAAGTGAGTGAGTAAATAAAGCAGGGAATGAATGGATGAATGAAAGTGTAAATAAGTGAACAGATGGTTAAATCAACACAAGAGTAACTTGATAAAAAGATGGTTGGATGGACGGCAGATGATTAGTGGAGAGATGGAAAGATGGAGAGCTAAATGAATGGATAAACAGTTGGAAATGGATGGAGGAATGGATCATTAAGGGATGAACGGATGACTGGATAGAGAATGGAGAAATGGATGGAGGGATGAATGGAGGGATAAATTGTCATATGGAGGACAAATGGATGGATGGATGGATGTGATGGAAGGCAGAGAATTGCATGGACAAATGGAGTGATGAAAAGATGAATGGATGAATGGAAGTTGGCTGTAAGGATGGCTGAATGTATAGACAGATGGACTAGTAAATTAATAAATGGTTAAATGTTTGAATGGATGGATGGGGAGATGGATGGGTGAAGGGTTGGATGATGAATGGATGGACAAACAGATGGATAAATGGAGAGCTAGATAGATTGATAAGTGGATGAATGGTTGGATGTTTAGACAGATAGAAGAACATATACTTGCATGGATGTTTGGAGAAATTGTTGCATGGTGAGATGGATTGGTGGAGAGATAAATGGATGGGTGGATGGATAAAGGGTTGGATGAAAGGATGGCTGGATAAACAGATGGATAGATAAATTGAAGAGTGGCTAGATGGCTGGATGTTTGATGAATAGATGGATGGACTTTTGGTTAGATGGATGCATGGAGAGATTGATGGATGTTGACATGGATGAATGGAGAGGGGAATGCATGAACGAATGGAACAACAGCCTGTATGGTGGTTAAGTATGTGGCCTTGGGAGCCAGACCACCTCGATTTGAATTCTGGTTCTTTTGTTTATGGGCTTTGTGGCAATTTGCTTTATTTTTCTTTGCCTGTTTCCTCATCTTTCACAGAGGGATGGATGATAATAATAGTTTCTACCTCCTGGTGTTTTTGTGAGGAATGAATGAATGGATACACATAAAGCCCTAAGATCAGAGTCTGGAGCACACCTAGATTTATCATGATGAGAAGATGGATGGACTGACAACCGGATGGCTGAATGGGCAGTGCATGATTGAACCAAAGAAGGAAGGAGCAGTGAGGGAGGTGAGGGGTCACATATACTCATGAGATATCTCAGACATTTTATTAGGGGCTTAGAAGGGAGTCTTATAGGATCTTTCTCTCTGTGTTCCCAAGGGTTATAGCCCCAGGAATAGATCAGATCTGGACGTAGGACAAGGTGACATCACCCTGGATCTCCAGCACGTCCACCCTCTGGAATGCCGGCAAGCGATGGGAGAAGTCAAAGAGATGCTGGCCGTTGGCAAAAACCTTGAAGCGATCTGTGCCACAGCGAATGGACAGCTGCAAGGAGAGGGCAGGCATGAGGCCAGGGCCAGGACCGAGGCTTTAGAGCGAAGCAGGTAAGGAGACTCCAGACTCACGTCAAAATACTGGCCAGCTCTAAATGGGTTGTGGGGGATCCTCCTCTCCTCGGATCCCCAGGAGCCATTCAGAAAGCTGTTCCGAACCACAATGCCCTCAGACAGGCGGGGGTTCATGTGCAGAGCCACATCCCCTGAGGAGCCCACCTTGAAATTGATGACAAAGCTGGGGGCAGAGATAGAGAGACATCGAAGTGAGCTGGGAGCCAGAACCTGGTTCTCCAATGAAGGAAGGGGCTGGGGCCTAGATTCCTGGGTCCCTTGTGGAGGCGGCAGCTGAGGGCCCAGACTCCAGGGTCTGAGGGGAGAGGGGGCTGCGGATTCCCACCTCCATCTAGATTCTGTACCTCTTGCTTGAGGGGGGTACAAAGCCCTTGATTATGATGGTTCTTCGAGGTGTAAGCCCCCCTTGCAGTCTCTTCACAAACGGCACAGGCTGTGGGAAGAGAGCATGGGTCCCATCATCTCACAGATCTCCAGAAGCCAAATACAGGGACGAATTTTCAGTGAGGGGAACCCACTCCTCCTAGGCAATGCCCCAACCCCCATCCCCTCCCCACCCTGACCACCACTCCACCCTCTCCCCACCTCCCGCCCCAAACCCCCTCTGCCCACTCTATCTCCTTCCCTCGCAGGGCTGCCCATGGACCAGGGCCCCCCACCACCATTGGGTCCTGCTTCCCCACACACTGCCCACTGCAGGGCCCTGGACTCCTGCAGGACGCCTTACCGGGTTGAAGGCTGGGGGTCCCTCCATGGTCTGTGAAGTGAGGAAGAACAGATGTTATTCTGTAATATTCGACAAACATCTCCGGCACATCTGCCACATGCGGGTGTGTCTCTGGGCGCTGGATTAGGGCAAGTGGGGAGCCAACCTCTCTCAACTCCCCAATTCTCGCCACCCCGCCCCCCACCCACCAGATGGCCATGTAACCCTCCCACTTACAGGCAGGGAACCCTGCTGCGGGTAGCTGTGTCCGTGACCCTGTGTGGATAGACGGCAGGATGGAATGGTGAGGGGGCTGGAGGCCCTTCTGCTGCCCAGAGACCTCCTCAGCCACCGAACTCCCCACCCAAGGCCAAAGCCACCGCCCACCAGCAGGTACTTACTGGGTGAGGCGGAAAACCCCTAGGTGGCTGTGGGCACAGAGGGAGAAAGAGGTGATGAGGGGGACATCAAACGAGAGCCTCCAGGGTGTCAAGGATGCCTGCCCTGGGCAACCCACCACCGCCATCCCGGGGAACGCTGGGCTCCAAGATGGCTCAGTGATGGAGAGGGAACTGCTGTGTTTAGAAGTGAATTTCGCTCCATCCCTTTAGGACAAGCCTGGTACATTCTCTTCTCGTCCCCTCCCCTGTCCTGGCTTCCTGCTGTTCCAGGACCCTCATGTGCCCCTCTCCTTCCCGCTCAATAAAGTGTGCTCTCCCCCAGAACATCCTCCCAGGCGCACACAGTTCATGCCCCTGCCCGCCTCCTCGGGAAGCGCGAGTAGCCCCTGACGCCCACCACGGGGTGCCTGGGAGTCCTTGGACCCAGCCCAGTTCCCGTCCCTCCCTTGTCTGTCTCAGGCCCTCACAGTCTCTCTGTGTGTGTCTCTCTGCTTCTGTTTCTCGGTCTCTGTCTCTCTCCATCGCTGTTTCCCTCTCTCTTCCACACGCTTTTGCACAGGTGGTTCCTTGCGCCGCGAACACCTTTCCCTTCCCCAGAGAACTTAGATTCACGCTTCTCTCTGTCTCCTTCTCTTCCTAATGAACCCCTTTCCACCTTGACTTCCATCTCAAGTCAGTTCTTCTGAAGGCCTTTTAAAAATAGCCTTGTGGTTTTTTAAAATGTATGGACGACGCCCGATAGGAAAATGAACCCCCGCAAGCCCACGGCCGCCTCGCGGATGAAGACGTTCCTGATGTTTTCCGTGCGTGCGTTAGATCAGCTCTGTGACCTCGGGCAGGTTACCTAAGGTCCCTGTGCCTCGTTTCCCACATCTGTAAAAGGAGGCTGCTGATGAGCAGAGACGGTCCCTGTGGAGCTGCCGGGGGCTTACAGGTTGGGAGCGTAGAGCCCTCCTTGGCTGAAGGACACGTGGGGAGCCTGGAGTCGGGGCCCCTCCAGGAAGTGCTCCCATGAGTTCCTGGTGTGTGTAGGTGGGTGTCCTGTCATTCACTGTGGACCTGGAGAGGGGCTTCTAGGTGGTTGGGCGCGTGTCTGTTCAGCTTTCACAGACCGGGTGGGGGTGTCGGCCAGGCCAAGGTCCCACCAGCGATCGCCATCGTGCGCCTTGTCGTTAGAGCTCCTCCTGACTCAGCTTCCACACCTCCTCCTCCACCAGGAAGCCCGCCTCCCCAAACCTCCTGTATGTCCCCCATCCCGGCCCTGACTGCTTGTGGCCGGCACCGTCTGGTGACATGTCTGTCTCCCCAGTGGACTGCCTTGGTGGCGTCTGGGTCCACGGCATTACCCAGCAAAGGCCCTGGCACAGAGCAGGAGCTCAGGAAATAAGTGACTACGGGAGTGCACTAAGGAAGGAAGCAAGTAAAGAAGAGAGGGAGGCCCCACGCACCTGGGGGTGGGAGGGCTGGCCTCCGATGAAGTTGATTGACTGAAGTTGAACGTCCCCATCCACTTGCAGGTGGGTGACCATCTGGAGGGGGAGCCGGTGCCCGAACTCGTAGAAGGAATTTCCATTGACCACCACCTGCAGGGCCAGGGGAGGTCAGGGTCGGCACTCACAACCTTGGGAAAGCAGAAGCAGGAAGCAGGAGACAGGGACCTTTTTAAACTTGAGGTGACAAATCTTGGGGGTGAGCTGGGATAGCCTCCAAGTCAGGAAGCTTGGCATCCACAAGTCAGAAGTCAAGCCGGGGTCCAAAGTCACCTCCCAGACAGGGGAGATGGGAGAGAATAGAGAATTTCATCTGGGGGTGGAGATAGGGAGAGAACAGAGTCTGAGTCCTGGTTTTGGCACCAAATGAGTTGAGTCTGAGGTCTAGCTCTGACATGTCTTGGCTGTGTGACCTCAGGCAAGTTGCTTCACCTCTCTGAGCCTTTGTTTCCACATCTGTAAAATGGGGGCTCACTCTGGGATTGTCGGGAAGATGGAAAGCTAGCAAGGCTTGTCAGAGGCGTTGTGGAAATGTTGGCTAGAGCCTTGCGATCATCGCTGAGAGGACGGAAGTCTAGTTTGAGTGCTAAGCCGTGGACACAGGGCTGAGAGCCACCTCCGCAGGACCGAGAGTTCACCAGGTGCTAGTACTTTCCATAGTGATATCAATGTGGTCACTGTCTCAAGAGCTCCGTGAGGCAGGACAAGAGATTGGTCCTGTCCCTCAAGAAAGCGGAGGCTCCAGGCAGTAGAGCGACCAGCTCAAGGTCACACCTGGGGGCGTGGCAAAGCCCAGGTTCCAGTCTTGCAAACCTCGGATCCTTGTCTGTCTAACTTCAAACCATGACATTAACCTCGGTGATGAGCTTAGAAAGCTGTGCCCACAGGAGGGCAAGTCAAGTCCAGGGAGATCCTCCAACCGGCCATTCCCCCCAGGACACTCCTCAGGTGGGGCATGTGGCTGTGAATGGGCACCGGGACATCCCCTGCAGGGCTGTTTGTGGGGAGCCAGATGCGGGGACAGCGGGAGCTCAGAGCATGGCCCGGGAGGCCTGCACAGCCAGCAGAAGGCGCAGAGCAGGGGTGACAGCACGCGGGGCTCTAACACATAAATGATGACGGAGAAAAGCAGCGGGGGGTGGGGGGAGTGTAACATAGCGGTGAATACGTAAGGAGAGAACCTGAAAAAACACGCAGAGACACTATCCAGGCCGAGAGAAGTGAGGATAAAGGCTGCCCTGGGGACGAGGGGACTGAGGGACATGAGGGGGCTTCTGGGGCTGGAGCGTTCTGTTTGTGGACCCAGGTGCTGCGTACACGGGGGGCATTCTCTTTGCAAAAAACCTGGGTGCTTCGTGCAGATGGTTCTCTGTACCTGGGTCACACCGTAAGAACACATCAAAAAATACTTGAAGAATAGTAACCGTCACAATGTGTGGGCCTCCTTTGGACCCTGATTTAAGCAAACTAACTGTAGAAATCAACAAAGCTGATGGCATTTATGGGATAACCGGCCGCTGGCTGGATATGCGGCGACACCAGGGAAGAACTGTCGATGTGTAAGGTGTGACCATGGCATCGTGACCGTGTTTTTAAAAACGGAACTATTTCTGAATGAAATGATGTGCTCTCTGGGATTTGCTTTTAAAGACTATGGGAGGGGAGGTGTGAGGTAGAGGTGAAAGCAGAGGGACTCAAGTGGACAGCTATTGGAGCCGGCCCAGGAGATGGGGTCACCGTCCCGGTGCTCCCTTTGTGTGAGTTCAGAGTTCTCGACAAGAAACAGCAAAAATACACACTCGGAGAGCACAGAGGAACGAGGTGATGGAAGGTCAACGTGTGACAAGGTTCTCCGTGGTGGAGGAAAGGGAAATGAGAAAAAGAGGTGAGGGAGTTTTGTAAGAGGCAGGAAAGAGGGATAAGAAAAGACAAAAATGAGGTAGGAGGGGAGGGGAGACAGGAGAGGCTGAGAGAAGGAGGGGAGGGAGGAAGGAAGGGAGGGGACAAGGGAGGAAGGAAGGAGTGGGGAGCAAGGAGGGGAGGCTCCCACCTTGTAGTGCTCCGGCAGGATCATGAAGACCAGCTCGAAGGGGCAACCCTTGCGGAAGGGCATCTCCCTTTTCCTCTCCTCTTTGCCCCAGTGGCCGCCCTGCTGCGAGTTGAAGACCACCTTGTCCAGGCCATCAAAGCGGGGATTGAAGTGGAAGGCGATGTCCGACCCGGGGGACTGCCCCACCGCAAAGTTCACGAAGAACCTGGTGGGACACAGAAGAGCTGGTCCACGTGCCCCACCCGCCAGCACATGGGGCCGTCCTCCCGGAAGCCCTTTCCGCCCCACCATGTTCCAGGTTCCAGAGGGAGGGCAGCCTGGCCCAAGAGGGGAGGAGGAGGTCGTGGCCCTGAGCTCCAGGAGGCGGGTTCCCACCGCCACCCTTTCCCTCAGTCCATTTCCTCACCAGGCCAGCTCCCCCAGCCTCTCCCCAACTTCCAATGGGACTGCAATTGGTACTCCTGCGTTTCTGCGTCCACCGTGGGCCAGACACTGTCCTAGGTACCTGACATCTCTCAGTTCAGATCTCTCTGCTCCCTGCAGGCCATTCCCCACATACAGCCAGAGAGACCTTGTGACACCCAAGTCAGAGCATGCACATTCCACATCTCTCCTCACACCAGCATCCCCAAAGTTATTGGAATGGGGCAGGCACACACCTTTCTCAGAGCCTTTGCACTGGCTGTTCTTTCTGCCTGGAACGCTCTTCCCTCAGATACATCCCAGGCTCCCTCTCTCACTTCCTTCTCATCTTTGCTGAAATGTTCCCTTCGCAGGGAGGCCTTCCCCGGACGATGCCACGCCCTCTGCCCCACGTCTACTCCCTATCTCCCCTCCTTATTCATCTCCATAGAGCTTCTCATCATCTGACGTATTATAGATTTGACTTATTTATTGTCGATCTGTCTCCTCTACCAGAATGTCAGCTACACAAGGACAGGGATCTTTGTCTGTCCTGGTGACTGCTCTGTCCCCGGCGCCTAGGCCCAGAGCAGACACTCAGTGAGCAAAGAAACAAGGAATAAAGGAACAAAAGCCCTATGAGGTAAATTCAATATTGATCACCATTTTAAGGTGATAACAAAGGCTAAGATTCGTGACAGTGTTTATTTTACAGTCCTACATGTTTGTATATTGAATCCTCAAACAGGATTCGCAAACAGAGGTCCAGCCACTTTTGCAGGCACCCAGCTGGTAAGTGACGAGCCGGGACGTGAAGGCTGGGGGCCCGGCTCCGAGCCTGTCACCTTAATTCATGCTATCACACTCGTCAATTCCAGCCCAAAGTCCCGACCTGGGGCCACCTCTCATGGGGACCTTCCCTGACCCCTTCCAGCCCCCAGTGTCCCCCCTCCTGATCTGATCGCCAAGCCCAGGATTCCCCAGACCATCGGGTGGGGTGACAGAGAGTCCCTCCCCACCCAGGGTGGAGGAAGGGAAGACGGCCTCCTGCGCCCAGGCCAGGAGCCCCCGGCTGGAGCCCCCGGCTGGAGCCCCCTCCTAGCCTGGCCTGGCGTGGGGCGGGTCTTACCTCTTCATGTGCTCACTAGGCACTCCTTGGATGTAAACGGACATTCCGACGCTGAGGCCGCCCGGGATGGGCTGGTTGTAGGGCAGAGTCTGTAGAAGGGGCCGGGTGAGGGGCCTCGAAGGCATCTGCCTGCTGCGGCCTTTACCCCTCATTGGGAAGCCCCCCCTACTCCCTTAAGCAAGGGAGCGGGACCCAAGGAGTGAGGGATCAGCGTGGAGGTGAAGGCCAAGAGTCAGGTCTGAAATGAGCGGCCTGCGTCTCGGGGTGGGAGTCGGTCAAGCCGCAGGGCCGGGACGGGGTCCATCAGCCCCTCGGAGGATCAGGCCGAGGGCAAACAGCGTGGGGCTCAGGGTGGACCCTAGACAGGGCCTGGGGTAGGGCCTGGGCCGGCATCTCACCGGGTTGTAGGTGGGCTGGTAGCCGGGTGCCGGGACAAAGGCCATCTTGCCGGGCTGGGCTCAGGGCTTGTGCCTTGAGGAGAGCTGCAGGAGTGAGCAATGGTGGCAGAAGGCAGCTGATGAGCGCCTCTTATACCTGAGGGGAAGGGCGTGGCTGGCAGGGCAGGGTCCACAGGGTCCCTTTTCTGGGCATCCCACGCTCACGTCTTCGCCTAGAGCATCCCTGGAGCCGCTTCTCTTACCAGCCTCATGGGTGACCAGCCAGACCCTGGGTCACCTGGGCCAGGCCTGGGGGACTCGGCTCAGGGCCCCCTCCTCCAGGCCCTTCTGCAAAGAGGAGGTGCCAGTGAACTTCGCCCCCGCCAGGGCCTTATCAGAGCCCATAAAACCCTGCCCAGATCTCTGTTAGCAGAGGGAGGGTGAGGCCAGGCGTGTTGGGCAGGGCAGGGTTGCAGGAGTGGCCGGGGACAGATGGGCAATGGAAGTGAGAGAAAGCCGGGCGGAACTGACACACCCAGGGACTGTGAAAGGACCTACATTTATTGCGTGCCCACTACGTGCTTTTCCCATGCACTTTAAATGATATGTATGGTGGTTGAGGGGCCGGCGCGGTGGTGTAGTGGTTAAGTTCTCATGCTCTGCTTTGGCAGCTCGGGGTTCGCTGGCTTGGGTCCTGGGCACCGACCTACACACGGCTCATCAAGCCATGCTGTGGCAGCATCCCACATACAAAATAGAGGAAGATGGGCACACATGTTAGCTCAGGGCCAATCTTCCTCAGCAAAAAGAGGAGGTTTGGTGGTGGATGCTAGTTCAGGGTTAATCTTCCTCAGGAAAAAAAAAATAGATAGCTAGATAAATAAATAAATGATAGGTATGGTGGCTGAGATCCCTGACTTCTGCAGCCAGATGCTCTGGGTTCGAATCCTGCCTCTGCCACCTCCTGGCTGTGTGATCTTGGGTCAGTGCCTTAACCTCAATTTGCCCATTTGCCCTTCTATAAAATGGGGATATTAATAGTCTCAACCTCATAGGGTCCTTGAAACGAATCACTGTGTTAATAAAGGCTCAGAACAGGACTTGGCACCTAGAAGGCACTAGATTAATGTTTGGTCTCTTGCACTCGTATCAAACAGAAATCCAGGAGGTTGGGATTGTATATGGATAAGAACACCCAAAGCTTAAAGAAATGAGGCAAGGGGCTCGCCCGCTGGTGCAGTGGTTAAGTGCCTACGTTCTGCTTTGGCGGCCCGGGGTTTGCTAGTTCGGATCCTGGGTGTGGACATGGCACTGCTCGGCAAGCCATGCTGTGGCAGGCGCCCCACATATAAAATAGAGGAAGATGGGCACGGATGTTAGTTAGCTCAGGGCCAGTCTTCCTCAGCAAAAAGAGGAAGATTGGCAGCAGATGTTAGCTCAGGGCTAATCTTCCTCAAAAAAAAAAAAAAAAAAAAAAAAAACAGAGAAAGAAATGAGGCAGTTGGCCTAAGATTGGCTAACCCTGGAACCCTAGCCAGCCCCCAGTAGCAGATCCGCTCTGCTGTGCAGTGAGTGGGTGCCACGCAGGGTGAACGCAGCCCAGGAGCCGGAGCAGGCAGAGACCACTTGTAGCCTTTCAGCCTAGGAGCCGTGTGGCTTTTGCTCCATCTCTGCCCGACTTTCTATTGGTCCACGCCCCCGCACCGCCAGCCCTGAGTGGTCCGCACCGGCACAGCTCCCATTCCCATTGGTCAAACCTCTGTTCTCGACCTTCACTACCACTGAGGTCATGGGGCGCATCTTGGCCCCTTTCCGCCTCTCCTCTCTCTCCAGGAAAGGCACCAGGTTCTTTACTTCGCTTTATTGTTAGTAAGGCAAAGATAAGATGAGGAAGTCAGTGTCATAAAGTTATAAACGGGGAGGCTGGGTGAGAAGGCGGCCAGGTGACCATCTTCACCCATCCTCCCGTTCTGCAGGTGAGGAAACAGGGGCACGAGGCGGAACAAGGCCAGACCCCGGGCCAGGGTGGGGACGCGGGGGCTCTCAGAGATTGGAGAAAGTGATATTCTTCAGTTCCTTCTTCTCCATCGCGGCCTGGGCGGACTTAACGATGTCCTCGGTTTGCAGCATGCTCATGTTCCAGGACGCCTGGGTAAAGAGGGTGAGGGGAAGGTTGGAGTGGGACCAACGAGAAACGGGAGGGAGACAGCAGCGCACCAATCCGAGGGCAAGGCCTGCAGAGGGACGCTGAGCCCTGATTGGTCGCTCTGGGATCAGAGAAGGGCTGTGATTGGCCGGGCGGAGAGCCTCACCGCGTAGTTGAGGCTGTCGGCCACCGAATGGTCGCGGGAGTAGAGCAGGTTGATTTTGGTACCCTGCACCGCCACGGGGCTCTTGCTGGAAATCTCGGCGGCGAGGGCGAAGGCGGCATCAAGCATGACCTCTTTTTCTGGGAACACCCGGCTGTGGATGAAGTGGGTTGAGTGGTCCGGGAAGGGCTCTCTCGCCTCCCTCCCAGGGATGACGAAGTGGCCAATCATAGGAGACAGCGGGAAGCTTTCCCCTCCCCCCCCCCCCGAAATGGACCAATCCGTGCAGGGCACTGGACTCTAGAATAAAGAGCTGACCACCGAGGGAGAGGAAGCTGCTTGGAATCCGTGAGTGAGGATGCGGAGAGCCCCACCCAGGCCTGGCTGCCCCAGAGCTCTTGACCAGCATGGGCCTCGGCCCCTACCTGACCAGCCCACTGCCCAGGGCCTCGTCAGCCATCATCTTGCGGGCGGTGAAGGCCAGCTCGTTGACCAGGCTGCAAGAGGGTGGGGCGTGTCAGGGGCCGGCAGACAGCCCGGGTCCCGGAGATGCCCTGCAGTCCCCTCCCCCAGGCTCTCGCCCACCCACCTCTGGTTCCCGATGACTCTGGGCAGTCGCTGCAGGGTTCCCACATCGGCCGCCAAACCTATGTCCACCTCCTGGGGGGAGCAATGGTGTCAGTGCTTGGTTTCTGCCCAATATTGTCCTCCACACAACCTCAATGCCAATCAAATTCTGCATTTCCTGCAGAGCCCCCACTCCACCACCTCAGATTTCCCCTCCAACACCCCACTGCATTCCCACCCATATCCCTTCATCCTTGTAGCTTCTCTCAGTCTAGAATAGAGCCCACCCCTCGATTCCTGTGCCTTCCCAGTTCTTCGGGGTCAGCCATGTCTGTCTCCATTGGGCAGCCCTCCAGTCCTGCCCATGCGACCCCCTTCCTGCATCCCTGGGCTCCATCCTGTCTCCTGCCCTCTCCAGCACGGACCCCAGCGGGACCCCAGCCTCATCCCTGCTCCCACGCCTTTACTCACTCCCGCCCTCACCTGCACTGAATGGTCTACCCTTGACTTCCTCCATGGCCAAACCTGACTTTTTAAGGTTCAATTTGGACTAACTCTTCCGTGAAACCCTGCGGCCTTCCTCCGGGACCTCCCTCCCCACTCCCGCCCCGTAGCCTGTGCCGCCCCTGCTCCACCCGGGCTCTGCTGCTCACGGCCCAGCTCTGAGCAGAACCCGGAGAAGCAGAAGCTCAGGAGGATGGCTCACCTTCACCTGGAAGAAAGCATCCTGGGCACAGTAGCGGATGTCACAGGCAGTGATGAGGTCCACGCCTGGGAGTCAGAGGCCAGGGACATTAAATCACCCCGAGGACCAAGCCCTCCGCCCAGGTGGTGGGGACGCACCTCGCGACAAGGTCTAACTAGCTACAGATCTGAGGCTGGAGGCCATTGGCTAAGAACGCAGGGCAGCAGCCAATGGGTGCCCAGAAAGAGGGAGCGTCCGGAAGGCAGCAGCCAATGGGTGCCCAGAAAGAGGGAGCGTCCGGAAGGGCAGCAGCCAATGGGTGCCCAGAAAGAGGGAGCGTCCGGAAGGGCAGCAGCCAATGGGTGCCCAGACAGAGGGAGCGTCCGCATGGGTGGTGGGCGGCTGCAGACTCACCTGCGCCGATGCAGCCCCCGTGGATGGCTGCGATCACCGGTTTAGGGCACTGGAGGGGAACAGGAGGGGTGGGTCAGGGCTGGCCCAGGAGAGGTGGGCAGGGAGAAGGCCATGCCAGCTCCCCCGAGTCACCTTCTCGATGACGCTGAAGGTCTCTTGGTAGCTGGCGATGAGCCTGCGGAGGTGCCAGCTGATGCGTGCTGCGTCTTCTCCCTGGGGCTGGAGGAGGTCCGAAGCCATGTCCACGAGGTCGATACCTGGTGGGGAGGGTGAGGACGCTCACCTAGCCTCCCAGGCCACACTCGCTGCCCCAACTAGAGGTCAGAACCAGGCTCAGCAGATTCGAACCCCCAAACGACCGCAGGGGAGAAGGCAACTCACCCGAGACATAGCGAGGGACTGCATGGAGGGTGTGAAAATAAATACAAGCTAACGCGTATTGAGTCAGTATTCCCGTAATCCTCACAACGACCCTATGAGGTGGGTCCTATTACTATCTCCATTTTTACTGGGGGGTAAACTGAGGCACCGGGAGCCTAAGTCACTTGCCCAAGGTCACTGGCTTGTGAATAGTGAACTGGGATTTCGAACCCAGAACCATGCAGCTGGCTCCAGGGGCCACGACCCTCACCCTTATGCCCATCGGCCTGGGAGGTTTTGGGCATGAGCAATCGAGTCAACGGTGGTCATGTCTCCTGCCGTGGGAAGAAGGGAGGGAGCAATTTTTGTGGCTCCAACTGCAAGACAGCCCCAAATCTACCTTTCTTTCACCAGTCCTTCTCCATGACTCTGGCGACCATGGTCTCGCCTGGTCTCCCAGCTCCCACACGCAGCAGAGGGACGCTGTCAACCCCTCAGGGCCCTCTTTGCTTCCCTCCCATCCCACTGACTTAGAATAAAATGCAAGGTCTTTGCCAAGACCTTTCCAGTCCTGCACCAACATCATTGCCCACCTACTCCTGTGGGCACACAGGCCTCCAATGGTTGTCGCGACAACACGACACATTCCCCACCCCCGGGGCCTTGGTGCGCACTGCTCCCTCTGCCAAGAGCAGTCCTTCCCCCGTGATGGGCAAGACTGACTCCGTCACTTCAGCAGCAGCTCAAAGGTCACCTCCTCGGAGAGGCCCGCTCTGGGTGCCCTGGCTACATAGTGGCCCCACCCCCCACTGTCTCCTTTCTCTGCTTTATCTCGGCTGCTGTCTCATAATCACATAATTATGTGCTTATCTCGTTTAGTGCCTGTCTCCCTTTCTAGGATGTGAACTCTGGGAGTGGAGGAGTTTTTGTCTTTTTGTCCACCACTGTATCCCCAGTGCCTAAATGGCCTAGTATACAGTAGGTGCTTAATAAGTGAGCAATACAGACAACAGTCCCCGCCCTCATGGAGCTGCCCTTCTGTGGGGGGAGACAAACGAATAAGAAAATACATTTTGCCAGGTGGTGATAAGTGCTGAAAGAAAGTTAAAAGAGGGAAGTGGAAGTGGAATGGAGTGTGTGCGCGCGCGTGTGTGAGTGTGTCTGTGTGTGCGCGTGCGGTGAGGGCTGTTGCAGTATTAAACGGGATGGTCAGGGACTCTCTCACTGAAAAAGTGACATTTGAATGAAGATCCACAGGAGGAAAAGGAGGGAGCTATGGGGATAGCTGGGATGAGGGTGGCAAATGTCAGGAAGAGCCAGTGCAAAGGTCCTGCGGTTGAAACGCACTCGGTCTGTGTGAGGACCAGTGAAGAGGCTGGCGTAGCCG